GGTCTCCCACATCCTGGGTGAGCATCTGTGACAGAGTGCTGGGAATTAGCAGGTGAGTGTGCACGCTGATCACTCTGACATTGGCTGTCCCAGAGAGGGCTGATTGGGGGGATGAAAAGTTATAGTAGGCTAGGTGAACTAAAGGATTAATTAGCCCATCAGCAGAGGACTGATAAAAAGGCACAGGAACAAAGTGAAAGAGGGAGGAGCAGGCAAGCTGAGCGTGGAGTCAGAGAAATCTGCAGGAAGGGAGACGTCTTCTCCTCTTGGGCTCTGGGAAAAGGTCTGAGGATACAAGGGACATTGTACATCGTCTTGCTGCATTAAACTGTAAAGATGTTGGTGGAGGGATCTGAAATAAACAGCACAGTATGGATATCTAACCAGTGGGGTCTGAGCAGGTTTCAGTGATACCACAGAGCAGGGGCAGAGTGCCAGCCTGTCACAGCAGCCTATCCACTTGACTAAAGGTTATAAGGGAGAGTGTCCTCCTCTTCCCCCTGACTGTTTTGTTTCAGGAATTGCATGTGTCTTAGGCATTTGGTCACCTGTCTTCCCTGGCTCATGGATGGCAAACAGAGATAGGTGCCTATCTTTGTGAGATGGGCGGAGTTTAGGCCACACCCCTCTCCTCTCTATCTCCCATTGGCTAGTTTAGGCCTCTCTTCACCTATTGCTGGCCTTGTGGAACACATTCTGAGGTGCTGATTGCTCCCTATTAGTTGAATTGAAATCTAGGCACCTAACTCAGGCTTTATGGATGGCGGAGTTGTTCCTGTGATTTTCTAAGTCAGTGGTGGGCAACCTGCAGCCCGTCAGGGCAATCCACTGTCAGGCCGCGAGACAGTTTGTTTACATTGACTGTTCGCAGGCGTGGCCGCCTGCAGCTCCCAGTAGCTGTGGTTTGCCGTTCCCAGCCAATGGGAGCTGTGGGAAGCGGCGGCCAGCACATCCCTGCAGCCACTGGGAGCTGCGGGCGGCCATGCCTGCAGACAGTCAATGTAAACAAACTGTCTCGCAGCCCAACAGCGGATTAACCTGATGGGTCGCAGTTTGCCCTCCGCTGTTCTAAGTGCTTAAAAGCTAGGTGCCCCATCACTCAGCATTGCCTACATCCCTTGTGGATCCCACCTTTCATTTTTATAATTTTCCACCCAGAATTACTTAAATTCAGTAAAAATTTGAAATTCATCCAAAGAACCTGACCCTTTCCATGTTAAAAGTGATTTACAAATAGTAACCAATCTAATTTACCTTGTTTTTAATGGAGATTATATAAGAGTGTGGCCAACTATCTCTGTCTGTGATGGGTATTGGCTAACCCACACGCTTAATAAGGTGGCTTTCTGGGGCAACAATGAAATGACATCTTGGAGCCTGAGTTAAAAGGAATAAGCTAACTAATAAGCCTAATTAAAATTGAGAGCTTGATTCTCCTCATATTTCCACTAGTGTAAATCCGGAGTAACTGTGTAGAAGTTAATGAAGTTACATTGATGTAAAACCAGAGTAAGAAGAGAATCAGGCCTGAATCTTTAAGCACAAAAGCAGGCTTCCAACACAACTAAGGTCTTTAAATACAAAATGGGACATCTTAACAGCTTGAAAGCTAGATTCTCAGAAGGTGTAAATTGGTGACTTCAGTGAAGCTACACCTATTTACATCATCTGAGAATTTGGCTCAGAGTCTTCATCTGGAGATAAATCATGTGTGCTGGCAGCCATCAAGGAGAGAGCTTTTATCAGCTGAGTTTCCATCATCCAGTCTTACTCCACACTCTGGAGCACATTGACTTAAAGAGCATCTATGTACCAACTCAAAGTCGCAATGTAAATGGCTTCCAATCCCGCTATTGCTGTTTATACTATTTCTTCCTCCCTGATGGAACAATCTTTGACCCCGACTCCCTACCTCCTGTTTTCCTTTGTCTGGATTTCACCTTTAAGTTCTGTAATGAAGGTGAACACCAGAAGTGAAATCCTGCCCTCCCGCTCTCCATCATTGAAGTCAATGGGAGTTTTCCAATTCAGTGGGTCCAGAATTTCACCCCAGCTGTCAATATGCTTCTTAGAGACAAGGTTTAATCCTTCTGTCTGCAAAACACTGTGTTAGGTCTGCATGTTGTTTTACAGGGATATACTGATAAAATAATTAGAACCCAAAGAAAAGGCTCTGAGATTTTTTGCAGGATCCTTAACGGCAGTCATAAAGTTTTTACTTTTTGAAATTTTTAATGTCATGTTAGTACACGGGTATACGAAATAAAGCGATCAAATTATCTTGTGTGGGTGTAGATAATCTACACAGTTTCGAACAGCAAATAGTAATTAAATGGGGTGGTGGCAGAATGTACCCTTTACTAGAGCAGCTGCTATCCACATTGTTCTACTGTCTTCCTTCACTGCATTTTGTACAAAGTACTAGTGCAACTTTAAAGAAAAGAGGAAGGGAGTAGGTAAAGCTGCCAGATAATCATGAGAGTGTTGTGCATGAGTTGCCTGTGTTTATTATGATATGACTGTGTTGCTCTAATAAAATGTGTGATTGCAGATCTCTGCTAATAGAGCAAACCTGTAATTGGGCATTCAGAATTTGTAAGTGGCCAGTCTCTGAATTGTGCAGCTGTATGTTCACATCTGCGGTGGCGTGCGCTAATATAGGAGAATTCTGAGGGACTTCCTACCTCCAGTACTGTATGGACCACACAGCTACTTCCTTTCTTCTTTTTTATTACTGACTACAGGCAGGGAGCTATTAGCATGGGAGAACTCCAAATGTCTGGCTATGCCCATGTTCAAATCTTTCCTTAGCTGATGCTTATTCAGTCATCCAGGCAAGGGCCTGATCCTGTGTTAGGACATGAGGGACAGACTATGCATGTGAAGGGGGCAGTGTCATCTCTGGAGAGGCAGTATCACTCTGATGCTGAGGCTAATTTTGCCTGGGTCTGTTCCTAGGGATTGTAAAATGCCAACTTACAGGGGAAATGGTAATTTTTAACAGTTCGTTACTCAGCTATGCCTGAATGTGTGATTTCACAGGATAAAGAAAAGGCACTTCTCGAGCCTAAGGGCTGAACAACATTTACAATAATAAGGTTCTGCTCTGATATTGTGTAGTGGTATCTGAGTGATGTAATTCATAAAGCCAGACTGAACAAGAATACCTCATTACAATTGGTAAATTTATTTTTAAGGTACTAATTTTCTAACTTCTGTGTCTTTGTGTGTGTCTGTGATAGATGATGTGAGAACAGTCTCAAGTACACCCTGAATACTAAATAATTTATAAATGCCACTGTTCAGTGTTCACCTTCCAGGGAGGAAACACTGCTGCCCCTTTTCTCACCTTTGCTTTTCTTTCACGCACTTCTCAGCAGAGGAACTAGAAGAGAAGAAGTGGGACAGAGCTGAGCCTCTCCTCCCTGCCCCCAAAGAATGAAATGAGCAGGAGGAGATGCTACTGCTGTCAGACATCTTGCTCCGAATCTCTCTCAGGAAAGTTCAAGGACCATATTGGGATGAATATATAAAAATATTCCAAGAAATAAGAGATGGAAAAGATTTATTACTGTAGGTCTCTCCCTGGCCAGTATGAGATTGTTCTTCCAATGCTTGGTCCATCTACTTTCAGTTGTCCCAAGCAATGAGGTCTTCATCAGTTCCACACTCTACTAGATCTCACCATTAGGAAGTCTTTCCTAATACTCAACCAATGGTCCCATTTCATGCCATTATCCTTATGTACATGTTATTTGCCCACTCAAAGAGATGACATCCCCTCCTAGGCATTTTCTCTTATTTGGTTCTTTGTTTTTGCCTATTTCTCTCCCTATAAGTATTTCTACTGTGTTCATCGTTATATTATCTAGGGACTGTGTTCCAGTGCCAAACATAAGAGATATGTAATATTTTGCTAGAAGTTGGAACTCCCCTTTAGGATCTAAAGGCCTTTGAGATCAATAGGAAAGCTCCCATTAATTTCAGTGGGATTAGGATCAGGCCCTTAAGAAACTATCTTTGTGAGATCAGAGGTTTTACTCCTACACCAAATACCTCAGGGCCCGTCTGCTTTGAATGCCAATGAAAAGATATGGGTCTTGCACTGTACCCTAATAGTGCTGGTTTCATGCTGCTCATCATTCCATTTCTTCTTTCTCTTTCTTATTGTGTGTAAATCCTCCCCTCTTTCCATCGCCTTTATTACCACTTTCCCTTCCACAATGCCTCTGACTATTCTTCCTCATCTCTTTCTCTCCCACCCTTCCAGGAGTGGAAGGAACTCTTGATCCATGTAGTAGGGGAAGGGGTGCTGAAGCTATGTGCAACGTCTGGGAGATATCATTTGGAGTGGAGTACCCACCACTGCTCCAACAGTAGCAGTATGCAGCTGGCTCTTTAGAGAGTTCATGTTCAACTCTTCTTTTGGCATGATCCTAAATTTTTCCTGAGCAATGCAAGCAAGAGAGGGGAAATGGTCATTTTTAACAGTTTATAAATCAGCGAAACCTGAATGAAAAAGAAAAGGCACTTGTCTAGCCAGAGTGCTTTCTCCCTACTGAATTTCAAGGGCCTGCTGCAAACTATGGAGATTTGTGAGGTTTATAACAAACAAACAAAACTATTTGCAGAATCTTTTATAATCAAAAATGGTAGGCAATGTAAATATAGAGGTTACTAAAGGCAATAATGTTAAAGTTTTAAAAATAATTTCTGACTTTGAAAGGATAAACCAGGGAGAAAAATATTTTTGTTCTGTTGAACAAAGATTTGGGTAAGCCACATACATGAAAATGAATTATGAGCTGGCTAATGTCAATGACTGTTGATCCAAGTCTGTTCTGTAGCAATTAAATTCAAAGATCACAAGCATACAGCAGTTGTTTAACTCCCAAGAAATGGGAGATATGTTTGTTCATCAATTTATTTTAAGAGTGCTTTGTGAGCCTTTAAGATAAAGGGTGCAATATATAAAAAGGTACATTTTATGATCTTTTCAGATCCAGAGTGGTGATGCACTGAACTGAATTTTCCTGCTCTACTGCACAGAGGTTCTCTGCTGACACATAAACCTTTTATTGATGCAAAAACGTGCAGAATTCCCCCTGGAAAAAGGATACCAAAACTGGGGAAAGGTACAGTATACATTGAACTACAGTCACTTTTGCATGCAAAACCATTCTGTTTCCCCCTTTTCCCCCCAGCTCTCTTTGGGAACTGTCCTATTTATTGCTTTGGGTTGGATTTTTCCCTGCAGACACAGGAGAATGCAAATTGCATCTCCTTGTTCCTGTGGTGGCAAGTGTGCTGGATGGGGGATTCCCCTAGTGCAGGTGGTAGTACTGCAGGAATGGGCAGGACTGAACTCCAGCGGAGGTTCCTTAGGAGCCCTTCAGTGAAGGTTGCCTGAGAGATGCTGTGATGGGTCATGTGTCCCATACTGGCAAATAAAAGGTTAATAGGAGAATTAGTGCTTAGGTAGCCCATCAGGGCTACACCTGGGGGAGGGAAGAAGGGCAGGCCCAATTTAGTATTGGCCAGCTGAGAAGGAGGATAGGGCACCTAGGGTAGAGGCTGGGAGTAGCTTTGAGAAAACTCTTCAATAGAGAGTTGGGAAGAAGCTGCACAAAGACAACAGGTGTGGTGGTGGTTGCAGTCCCTCTGAGAGATGCCAATAAATGGGAAAAGGTAGGAGCAGCCCAGGGAAGTGGCAAAGGATTGTAAGGAATAGCCCTTAGCTGCCTAACACACAGGGACCCCGCTGGACCTCAGAGGAAAGGAGAGGGCAGACCTGGATTCTCCTCCCCTTGCCCCAGCCAGAGGGGAAGTACAAGTCTCAAGACTAAAAGAGGCAAAGATTGATGAGTACTATTGGGAGCTGAAGGCCTGTCATAAAGGTTATTAGACGTTGGTGTTTTTTCTGTCTGGACTTTTCTGCTACCATGAATGTGAAAGGTGACTTGCCTGGAGGGTTGGGACACAGAAGCTGCAGACCCAGGACCATAGGGACTAGAGTGAAAGAACACCATCAACCCCTTATCATGGTTTGTGGGAGTGTTTCAGTGGTGATTTCACCCCCATTACAGATGCTTAATCAGTGCCTCTTCCACCCGGGTAGGTGATGCTCCTCCTGAGCCAATCCCATCCAATTTGGGGCTGCCTGGGCTGCTTCTGGGCCCTCTCAATGGAGTGGGATTAGCAGGAAGCTGGCAGAACTACACCATTACTTCTGGTGAACATACCAAGGTCAGTAGCTGCTAGGCCTTTAATTAGAAAAGTAAAACTCCCTCACGCAGTTGCTCAGAAATTTTCTGTCAAAACTTTTGACAAAAAATGGCTTTTTGAATAAAGAGAAATTTTTGTGGCCAAAAAATTCCATTTTTGTCAACAATTTTAGGGTTTTCAACCAAAAAATGAAAATTTGAAAATGTAAGTTTTTGGCAACCAACTTTGTTTTGGTTTTTGACAGAAACATTTTCATCGACATTTTTCACAGGAGAAAAATATTACTTTGCAACCAGTTCTGCTCCCTAATGTTGGCCTTTTCAGATAGGTAGAGCTCACCTGTTAGAGGTTGAGTCTAGACAGCTGCAGTGAGCATGGTAAAAACTACTTTTGTACTCTCTAGGCTTTCATGATTGCTCAGTGCAGTGTTTCTGTATCAGCTGTCAGTTATAAACCATTTTTTTAAGACAATAGCAATGAGACCGCCCCATCGTTACACACGCTTACCAGCATTTCTTATACAGAGAAAGCTAAATGAGCTTAGAATGTTTTTACTTAGGGATATTCTAATTTAATTTTTGGTAAAAAGTGTTAAAAGAAAGCTGGCCTGTCTTCTAGCATACATTACAAACACTGAAGTACTCCAAAGTGCAGTAGGGTGCTTTATGCTGCTAATAATTGAGTGATCTTTATGTTAACACAACTTGCAAGAAGGTTTAATGCCTCTTTAGTGACATTAATATATTCAAGAGTTATATTAATAAGTATTTTGAGTCAGAGCTCAGCTTTAAAATGTAATTCCATGTTCCTCATACTGTTATATAAACCAATAAATAGACCAATAAATTCTGCCTTTTCATTCAAAATTTGTCTATGGTGAAACTAGCTGCAGTTCCGTTCTTTGTTGCCCATAAAGCCACATCTTGAAGTCATTGGGTTTGCACCAGTGTAGCAGAGCAGAGTGTGGCAGCACGTGACAACAGCTCAGCTTTCCATATATTGTTCTCATTGTAACTGACAAACCAATTTTTCATTATTATTATTCAGAAAAATTAAGTAAAATGTGCAAAATTGTGTTTTTTAAACCACAATTGTTGGAAAATAGCAGTAATGGGAAATCAGACTTCATGAATAAAGGATAGTCCATGATTAGCTGTTATATGGGCTTGCTCCATCCTCGAGGACTAGGATAAAATTGTCGTGTCTGAATACCAATTTTAGCTGGAAAATGGGAGTTTCTTGGCAGGAAGTCATGCTTTTTTTTAAAAAGACACAACACTTTATTTATTTTTTAGAATGAGTTGAGCTTGAAAAACGTGTTGGGGTTATGTTCCCTCTTATTTTTCTCCATTTAGAAGTAAGTTTCTCATTGAGAGCTCAGAGAAAATGTATATTCTGGTATGAGGAGGTACTTCTGCCCTCAGGTTTTACCATTATTTTATGTATGGCATATTGAACTGGCAGGGATAGAATATTTTATTTGCACTGCAGCTACTTATAAAAAAAACAGACATGGGTTCTGTGGAGACCTCAGTTTGGTATTGCTGAATGGGATGTCAGTCAGCAGTGTGTGATGGAATGAGTCAGTGGTTTTTCAGAGCAGGGTATTCTGCATAGGGAAGGATGAGTCAGCAGGTTGTCCAACCAGAGTGTTCTGGGATAGCTGGTGCAGTTAAAAAAAAAAAAGCCACAGAAGCCAAGGAGTTTGACTTCATCAGCAGTACTTAGATCAGACTGTGCAGACTCCTACAGAATCTTCAAAAGTGAAGGGAGAAATCACTGCTTTTGGGTGCTTCTGGTTCTGGCTGCTGTTCTCTCCACAGCCGGGCCTATTGTGCCCTTGGCAATGACTCTTAAAAAGTTGACTTTCCAAAATAGCACAACCCATTTTGCACCGGTAACTCTTTATTTACAAACACCTGGGCATGCCTTTATTAACACCAGCACTTGTGTGTGTGTGACAGACACTAACATCTGTGCAAATAGATTTTGCACATGGCAGTGTAATCACTTGTGTTGTGCAAATTATAGCGTCAAGTGGTTAGTCTATGTAATGTGCACATGCAGATGTATGTGTGTAAAATGTCGTGTGCACACAAATGTGATATGGATAAGGTCCATCTGCAAATTAAAAACTAACTTCAGCCACTGATGAACAAAGACAGATCTACATCTATTATTTTCAGTTAGAATTGCTGCTAATTATTAGGGCCTTCAAGTGATTAAAAAAATTAACTGTGCGATTAAACAGTAAGAGAATACAATTTATTTAAATATTTTTGGATGTTTTCTACATTTTTAAATGTATTGATTTCAATTACAATACAGAATACAGTGCTCACTTTATATTTTTTATTACAAATATTTGTGCTGTAAAAAACAAAAGAAATAGTATTTTTCAATTCACCTCATACAAGTATTATAATGCAATCTCTTTATCATGAAAGTTGAACTTACAAATGTAGAATTATGTAAAAAAAAAACTGCATTAAGAAAAACAATGAAAAACTTTATAGCCTAGAAGTCCACTCAGTCCTGAGCCAGTCACTCAGACAAACAAGTTTGTTTACATTTGCAGGAGATAATGCTGCCTGCTTCTTGTTTACAATGTCACCTGAAAGTGAGAACAGACATTCACATGACTCTGTTGTAGCCAGCGTTGCAAGATATTTACGTGCCAGATGTGCTAAAGATTCTTATGTCCCTTCATCTTCAACCACCATTCCAGAAGACATGCATCCATGCTGATGACAGGTTCTGCTCAATAACGATCCAAAGCAGTGCAGACCAATGCATGTTCACTTTCATCATCTGAGTCAGATGCCACCAGCAGAAGGTAGATTTTCTTTTTTGATGGTTCGGGTTCTGTAGTTTCCACATCAGAGTGTTGCTTTTTTAAGACTTCTGAAAGCATGCTCCACATCTTATCCCTCTCAGATTTTGGAAAGCACTTCAGAGTCTTTAACCTTGAGTTGAATGATGTTGCTATCTTTAGAAATCTCACATTGGTACCTTCTTTGCATTTTGTCAAATTTGCAGTGAAAGTGTTCTTAAAACAAGCAACATGTGCTGGGTCATCATCTGAGACTGCTATAATATGAAATACATGGCAGAATGCAGATAAAACAGGGCAGGAGACATGCAATTCTCCCCGAAGGAGTTCAGTCAAAATTTAATTAATGCATTTTTTTTAATGAGCGTCATCAGCATGGAAGCATGTCCTCTGGAATGGTAGCTGAAGCATGAAGGGGCATACAAATGTTCAGCATATCTGAAACGTAAATACCTTGCAATGCCGGCTACAAAAGTGCCATGCGAACACCTGTTCTCACGTTCAGATGATCTTGTAAATAAGAAGCCAGCAGCATTATTTTCCAAAAATGTAAACAAACTTGTTTGTCTTAGCGATTGACTGAATAAGAAGTAGGACTGAGTGGACTTTTTGTTTCTGAGTGCAGTTATGTAACCCCAAAAAATCTACATTTTTAAGTTGCACTTTCATGATAAAGGGCTTGCATTATGGTACTTGTATGAGGTGAATTGAAAAATACTATTTCTTTTGTTTATCACTTTTACAGTGCAAATATTTGTAGTAAAAATAATATAAAGTAAGCACTGTACACTTTGTATTCTGTGTTGTTATTTAAATCGATATATTTGAAAATGTAGAAAAACATCCAAAAATACTTACTATATTTCAATTGGTATTCTATTGTTTAACAGTGTGATTAAAACTGCGATTAATTGCGATACATTTTTTAATCGCAATTAATTTTTGAGTTAATCGCGTGAGTTAACTGTGATTAATTGACAGCCCTACTAATTAAACCAGGTAAGACATTAGCTCTAACTTTCCTTTTGTGTTTAGTGAAATCATAGTTCTTTACACCCCACATCATAATCACTTATA